GTGAGGAAGATCAGCCCTGAGCTAACATCTGCCAATCCTCCTCTTTTTGCTGAGGAAGACTGGCCCTGGGCTAACATCCATGCTCATCTTCCTCCACTTTACATGGGACGCTGCCAGAGCATAGATCGACAAGCAGTGCATCGGTGCGCTCCCGGGATCCGAGCCGGCGAACCCCGGGCTGTGCAGCGGAGCGCGCCACTCAACCGCTTGGGCCACCGGGCCGGCCCCCTGAAGCAAATTTTTTAAGAGCAAAATTTCATTCAAATAGGAAAGGTAATCTTAGACTCAAAATTACCAGATTTATGCAAACTACTCCTAACGCCATATTTCTACTAATAATTTAGAGATTTCCAAATCCTAAAAATTCAAGAACAAAGGCACATGACAGTCATATAACTCTTATGCAATGAATCACTGTTGCTGATGCTGAAATTCTGTGAATTTCAATGATACTTATCAATTTCTAACAAATGAGTGAGATTGTGTGCAGAGATGCCACAGTCATAATAATCATATTCTGTGCCTCATGATATCACCCCTGTTGTTGGTTTGTGTTGGTTTTGTAACATGACTGCAAATTTTTTGACCTCCTCCCATCACAAAGGGAAGCCTACGTCCTCTCCCCTTGAATCTGGGTGATCTTATAACTACTTCAAACAGAGTAACAGCAAAAAGGATGCTATATAACTTCAAGGCTAGATCATACAAGACCATGCGGCCTCTGCCTTATTCACTGGAACACTGAGTGCCATGTTAAGAACTTTAAATACCCTGAGGCCGCCATGCTGGAAAGGCCACCTGTAGGCTCTTCACTTGACAAGCCCAAGCTGAGCCCATGCCTCTAGTTGTCTCCGTCAAAGTGCCAGACTTGCGAATGAAGAAGCCATCTTGGAAGTATGGCTTCCAAAACTGCCATCTCCAGTCCCAATTGCTGCAATCTCTGGCTTTAAGTTCTCCCCAGCTGTGGCCCAGATATCACATAACAGAGTCAAGTCACCCCTGCTGTGCTCTGTCTGAATCCCTGACTCACAGTATCCATGAGCAGAGTCAAATGCTTGTTGTTTTGTGTCACTATATTTGGGGTGGTTAGTTTCTCAGCAATGGATAACCAGAACACAGACTAACAATTTAATTAAACAAACATTAGATGAGTGTCAATTTTGGGCAAGGGAATTCAAAGACTAGTAAAGACATGGTCCTGGCCCTAAAGGAATTTACAACTCAGCAGTAGATTCTAACTTGCTATCAGCTTGCAGCAACTACTTAACAGCTAGAACAGTATCTGGCACACAGTAGAAAATAAGTATTTACTGAATGAACAAATGAACAATATTATTTAGGGTTGAGTGTTGGATAATATCCATTTCTGCCTGAATTTCAACATTTTTAATCGAGAGGCTAGAGAAAGGTCAGGCTGTTCATCACATCTGTTCAAACAGGATATAAAAATTATAATTTACCTTTTTATTTTTTTATAATCAAGCCACTCTTAGCTGTTTACATCAAGCAGGTCACCCATCTTTTCAAATCATTCACCTTTTTCAATTTATCTTTCACAATATAGGCCTAAAACACTTTGGAAATGATTAAATTAGTAACTCAATGAGCATACTTGGAAAATGGAACCCTCAACTGGACATAATTGCTTAGCCTTTATCAACCTATAAATGAAACAATAGTTTGCAATTCCCAAGTTTTTACATCAACATAAATAGCTTGATAGAAAATACTAATATACTTTAACTACATATTAGATTCTTGCATGCATTTTAGTTAAGTGAATATTCCTAAAAATTTGTGAAATTTTTATCTCACTGCTATCAAAATAATTAGTAACTGAAATGAGACTTTGTTCAATTCCTCTAACATCCCATAACTGACGTTCATAAAAGAGTCACAAAAGAAATCTATCCCCTAAAAAGAATCATTCTACTAGGAGAAATAAGAAAAGCTTAAAATATTCTTCAACCTCAGCCATAACTAGGCCTGATCCAGACTAGTTTATTCAAAAGTTTGGGGTCGATTTCCAGGAGGTCTCTGCTGTCATGTTCCGATTCTATGCCTGCTCGTGATTGAAGATATACAAAAACCCAAGATGACATGCAGTTTCAAAAGTCTATATATTTATTCTACACTTTTTTCTTAGCTCTTATTTTTAGATAATACAGCTTAGATTCAAGCAATTTCTCTTTAAATCTTCGTGTTTCTGACATTTTAATAACATCTTGTTCTTTCTCATTTATCTAAATTATTTCTAATGAGTACACTCATTTTATAACACTGATATTTTAGAACAGAATGAATATGTATATGAAGCTTGTACTGCATAGTAGTAAAGAACATAATTCGACCTGTGGTAAAGTCAGCACAGCATATTAGAATGGTAAATAGAATACTGAGGTTTAAGTCTAACTATACCATTAACTACTTCTAAATCTTTGTGACTCAGTTTCCTGATTTATAAAGTGAGGGGATTAGATGAGATAATCTCCTTCAATTCTATGATTTTATATGTGAGTAATAACAAGCTGTTCTATACCAGACTTATACTACTATTTCTAAATCCAATATATTGTACACTATGCATTGTTTTTCACAGCAATCAAGATTACTGCAGATCTACACCACACAAGTGGCTTAACTTTGAAATTCAGAAAGCAATACGTTTATTTCTATCCTTTTACACGATTCTACCTACTTAAGGCCTAACAGATGTATTTTAACCTTTCCTAAGGGTATAAATAATTTTAAAGATCAAGTCTTTTACAAAAGTCAAATTATAAAACTCACTAAGTAATCAGCTAAATAAATTACTTAACCTTTTAAACAGCTTTTATTAGTAGAACAAAAATCCTCACTAAATGTTTTAAAGTTTCCAAACCCTAGTTCTTGTTCAGTCTAGCTCCTGAACAGAGAATCTTTACAAGATCTTAGCAAATAAAATCCTGTACACTCATTTCCATGTTGCAACAAAATTATCATTTATTGGCTGCATAATATTCCGTTGCATTGATGTACTGTCAGATTTTTAACCCTTCTTCGACTGTTAAGTAATTCTATTGACTCTAGTTTACTGAACTATGCCCAGTGTTGCAGTGAACATCTTTATACACAATTTTTCCTTCTTTTGGATTCTTTCCTTAGGATAATAAGCTAGATAAAAGGATATTTACATTTACAGTTTTTGAAACAAATTGCCCAAGTACCTTGCAAAAAGAGTCTATCATTACATCCTGCTACCCATGTGACTATAACAGCTTATTATACCAGCAAAAATATTAAATATGTATAAAATGATACTTCCTCACTGTAGTTTTTGATAAATAATAATTTTAAATACTGTTCTATACAACTTATTTATTATCTCTCCTGTATTTGATTTGTCCATTTATTTACTGATGCCTTGGTATTTTTTATCAAGTTTTATTTGTTTGTTTGATCAATCTTTTTCTTTTTTTTCATATTTTTTCATATTTTTTGCTTACCTGTTTTTAAGATGTGCCTCCAGATCACAGCGTTGCATTACATCTTGGCACACTGAAGAAAATGGACATAAAACTAATAATTTGTCCAGAAGTTTATGAACTAGAATACTAGACTTCTTACACAGCTTGAAGTGAAGTCTCTTCCGGTCCAGTGGACAGAAATCTTTCTCTTGTAAGAAGTTTCTGAGGCACTTGCAGCAGAATGTGTGTCCACAGGGAGTATCTAGTGGCTGCAACAGAGGCTGAAGGCAGATATGGCAGACCAGGTCGTCGTCCACTTCATTCTGGTAATTGTATAAGTGGTTTTCTCTTGTCCAGTGCTGCTGGCCACACTCAAAACACAGAGGATTGAAGGAGGAGGAGGAGGTCTGTTCCACAGAGACCATCTCATCACTTGTTGTTCCCATTTTGAATCAACTGAAGCAGTTTCTCTATCTTCATATGTTAGACTTCCACTTAAGGTTTGGTTGCCTTTAAAAGACAGTGATGTATTTGACTAAAAACAGGTCCGATTTTCTGGATAAACAAACCAAAACAAAAACCCCAAAAAGTAATTAATATCAATCAAGATAAGCTAATAGTATCAACATAATATTAGCAGTTAACTTCTTTTTTAGTAAAAAATTAAAATTTAGATGAGGTAATAAATTATTCATAAAAATGAAATTAACTAATTTACTTTTTGGCTAAGAAGAATGACTTACATTGCCAAGTTCTTGGTGAAGAAAGAACCTGTGATTAAAAGCAAAGATGCCATATATTATATGGTGTGACATAAGAAACAGGTTGTTTTACTGACTGAAATCCCCAAATACTTCACTGCTCAATGGTAGTTTTAAAGCCACTTACTCTACATAGCATGCTAATAATGCAATTTGAGGTATATTACGTAATATATTTGTATTTGCTATCCCAGTTATGGTTCTTTGCTTCTGACAGATTTTATGCATTTATAGTACTATACCTAAGATCGTGTCTGAAATGTAGTCTCAAGGATAATTCAGAGTCTATTAAAAAAATGACCTTTGCTCTGCAATGTTTGGGAAAAAATGGATTTCAAAATATGATTTGAATATTCTCTCTCTATATAACAGATTATAGAAAGATAAATCTGCACAGCCTATACAAATAACATCTGTGCAAACTCCATAAAGTGCAATACTATTTTATGCCATTAAAAGAAAAAACTTGCTATAATTCAATGAAACAGATAAGATATGTTATAAATTTCAATTCCACCTCATATTATTCCACATTTCCATTTGTTCTTGCTTACTCGGAGCAGCAATTTGTGTGTGTGTGTGTGTTTGTGTCTCTTCTCCAACACAAGACTCTTACAACAGCCTCCTCCAGTTTAGTGCAAGGCTAGCAAGGAATGCTCCCCTCATATAAGGGTTCCCATACTTCTTGCTGCTAGAGCACCAGGGGTTAAAAAATCAACTCCAAAGGCAGTAGCTGTCTATATTCATTCTTGATATTTACAGTCTCTATATGTGCCAAACACTGAACAAGGACAGAGGAGAGGCAGGGAGAGGATAGTTAAGAAAACCCATTATTAAAATGCAATGTAGTAAGTATTCTAAGACAGTTATGCACAGGATGCTATGTAAATATAGAGAAAGATGAGGAGAACTGGCATCTAACTCATTTTGGCTTTGTGGCCGGAAATACTTTCAAAAGAGGAAAAAACATGGATTGCTGAGTTGTCACAGGAAGCATGAGCCAGAGAGAAAAATGGACAAGGGCATTTCACCGAAGTCACAGGGGCTTGAGGGAGCACGGCACAGTCAGGGAATATGAAACAGGTCAAAATATCTGAGGCAAAGAAAATGTATGCAGGGCAGGGGAATTATAAAATGTAGCATCCCTGCCACAAGAACAGAAAGAGTTGGACACCATGTTAACACTACTAGCATTTGTTTCAATGATAAAATTCTCTTCCAATGACATATATGTATTTGCTATTTGGAGCATTTATTATAAAAAGCATATTAACATTTTAGCAGATTTAACAAGAACTGCCAGGAATTACGAGGGGGTGGGACAAGATTCAGATGGGATGGCTGACTGCAAGATAAATTGTGTGTTTTTAAAAACTACTTAATAAAATAACAATGATAGCGGCCTGTGGTCTAAACTATCAGTACCAACATTAAGAGAGCAAACACTTCTTGCATTTTGTAACTCATGGGGCTTGTTCTTTACCCTCTGAGCATCACAACTTTTTAAATGTGAGTGCAAGGTATGTGAGATTAAGGAAAGAAACATCCTTTATCTCAGTCAGGCAGACAGCTTCAACCTAGGCATTTTAATACAGAATGTCTACAGATTCTTGTTTCCTACTCAATTAGCAAGAAAATTCATATATCCTTTGCTCTTCTTTGTTTGTGATAGTGTTTATTCTAATTTTTCTTTTCCTTGGGAAAATACGCTGCAATTCTAGCCTCCCACATAATGACTAAGAAAGCATTTATATTTTAGCTATTTTCTAAATCTCTAAATAACTTTTAGTTCTTTGATTATTTTCATTTTATCACAAAATCTTTTCATGAGGAAAAATAACATGTTCCCATTTAAAACACCAAATAACAACTGCATTATCTCCAGCCCTGAAATACCTGTTACCATGAAACAAACATTAAGTGAAAATTTATCATGGGTAGATCACTAACATGGGCATTTAAACATTGATTAAAGAGTTGAAAGGCCATATAACACAAGTAGTTAAGAGCACACACCCTGGATCCTTGCTCTGTCACTTACTAGCTTTGTGACCTTACTAAATGTGACCTTACTACTGTTTCCTTCTCAAAATGGGGGTAATAACAGTGCCTATCTCAAAGGGCTGATATAAAGAACAAATAAGTTTATATATATATATATACGTATATATATATACACGTGTGTATATATATATATATATATATATACATATAAGTATATATATAGCTTCAAACAGTGCCTGGAACATAATAGATGCTGTGTAAGTGTTAGCTATTACTATAAAGAAACAAAAGTTCAGACAGATTTTATGATTTGTCCAAAGCCATATAACTTATAATTACTTAATAAGATAAAAGGAAGATAAATCTGTTTTTTTCTTGCTGTAAAATAACTCAATAGTAAATTAAGTAATTATAGGAAAGAGGAAAGGTACTTCATGAAAACCTTGGTGTATGAATTTTGTAAGGTCAATGGCAGCCTGACCCTGTTTTTCCAATCCCCAATCCCCTCCTCTACTCCCCACCCAGGCAGATGGTTTTATTTCTACTTTGTGCGCAGGTCCACTATAACACCTTGCACTACTTCTCACACCGTTGTCCCTCACTAAACTACGAGCTCTTGAAAAACGGGACCTCCCACACGGGAGAAGCTCAACAAATGCTGAATGATATGCTTGCTCACTCTTGCTACGTTTAGGTGACCAGAAATACATCTATCCATATAGGAGGATATGCCCATGTTTATATACAATTTTGATTTCAGATATTCTATGAGCACAATTTGAAATATTAAAATACAAGTCAAATAAATAATAGTCAAATATTTTGCAAAATATAAAGATAAAATGTAGCATAATGTGTATCTTTACAAACTACATTATCTGTTTAGTTATTATTCCAGGAATAATAAAGAGATGGAAACTATTAAATTGGCTGGGAATATTACAACACATTTTAAATAATATCCTGAAAAATAGCTAGTGCAATGGAAAGGGAATTATAAGACGCTGTTTACTTCCTAACTCCACTTATGATTAACATGCTTGCTCTTCCTGGTTTATGGGACAAGAATATCCTGGTACATCATCAAGACTCTCAAAAAGAGCTATGGTTTTTCACCATTAATTTGCACACTCCAAAACTATATATTATTCAGATCATTTCTCTTGATGTTATTTTTGATTCAGATTGAAAAAGTCCTCATTGGCCCTAACCTAGGAGATCCAGCCCAGGAAAAAAGATGATGTGCTAAGGATTACCACCAAAGCATGGTTAGATGGGAAACATCTATGGTTCCTTTGACTCATCAATGCCAACAGTCTAAGAATACCCTCTCCTCACATGTCCCCCCGGCAAACTCTTACTCACGCCTTAAGTCTCAGCTCAAACTCTACCTCCTCTGTCAAATCATACCAGCCTCCTTCCTACTCTTGGGTGCACCTCCCTTCCCTTATGTTCCTGCTGCTTTTTTTTTTTTTTTTTTTAATAATTTTATTTATTTATTTTTCCCCCAAAGCCCCAGTAGATAGTTGTATGTCATAGCTGCACATCCTTCTAGTTGCTGTATGTGGGACGCGGCCTCAGCATGGCCGGAGAAGCGGTGCGTCGGTGCGCGTCCGGGATCGGAACCCGGGCCGCCAGCAGCGGAGGCGAGCACTTAACCACTAAGCCCCGGGGCCGGCCCTGTTCCTGCTGCTTTGTACACATACCTTCATTTCAACAATTCCTGCATTTGCATGCTTGTTTATCTGTCTTCTCACTTCTTTGAGGGTAAAGATAGTATCTTCTTTATCTCTTGTATTCCCAGTTCTTGGCAGATAGGCAACAAAAAAAATTGTTCTCAGGCTCATACTTGAGCATGAAATGTATAATATAGCTATATAAACATACAGGAAAATCTTGCGCATTAATCTGTGGCACTGCAAAGCTATCAACATATTGGACCCTGCCCTATGATTATAAACAAAGAATAAGATATTACTCCCTTGAATCTTCAAAAGTCTGAGAAAAAAGTTTTTTTTCCACTTGATGATATCAACACAAGAAAATTTTATTGTCTATGTTACATATCAGCTTTGATAGCTGCCTCTGTATAAAGCAGTGGTTGTCAAACTTTTACACTTAAGGATCCCTTTATCCACTCTGGACAAGTCTGGCAGTTTCTTGAAAAACTAACATGCAACTATCATATAATCCAGCAACTGCACTGCTGGACATTTATCCTAGAGAAATGAAAACTTATGTTCACACAAAAACCTGTGCAGCTGTATTTGTGATGGCCGAAAACTAGAAACAACCCAGATGTCCTTCAACAGGTGAATGGTTACACAAACTATGGTACCTCCATCATAGAATACTACGCAGCAATAAAAAAGAATGAACTACTCATACGCACAATAACCTGGATGAATCTCCAGAGAATTATGCTGAGTGAAAAAAGCCAATCCCAAAAGGTTGCATACTATATTATTCCATTTATATAATGTTCTTGAAATGGCAATGCAATTAATTAATTAAAATGGTTAAATATTCATTTGTTAATAAAACAATAAACCCATTACTTGTTAACATTTTTATGAAAAATAACTTTTTTTCAAAATAAAAAATATAGTCAGAAGACAGGTATTGTTTTACATTTTTGCAAATCTGGAGTCTCAAATCTGCTTCTGTTTTCAATCTGTTTCAAGTATCCTCCAGAAAACTCTATTGCACACTGATGATTATGAGAATGAGGGTGAAAATAGCAGATAACGTCTTAGTATTACTGGGAAAATAGTTTTGACCTTGTGGAT